GGATAATATGTTTCTTCAAGAGTCTTTTGAAATTGTGGTTGATCTTTCATTGTGTTGATTAAAGTTAAATTCAAAGTTGATAATCTTCATAATATTACTGTTATAGTATAAATTGTTCTCCTGGTTCTAGTCACTTCACTTTCCATTAGTTCACACAAGTGTTCCCAGGCTTTTCTGAAACCCTCCCTTTCATAATTTTCTATAGCACAAAAGTATTCCATCACATTCATATGTAGTAACTTGTTCAGCTGTTCCTCAATTGATAAGCATCCCCTCAATTTCCAATCTTTTGCCACTACAAAGAAAGATACTTTACTCTTTCTTTTATCTCTTTTGCGTATAGACCTAAAAACATTTTCTGGGTCAAAGGGACAATTTAATAACTTCTTGGGTTTAATTCCAAATCAGTTTCCAGAATGGTTGGACAAGTTCACAGTTACACCAAAAATGCACTAGTGTACTTGTTTTCCTATAATCCCTTTAGCATTTGTAACTTTCCTTTTTAGTCATATTAGCCAATCCAATGGGTGTCAGATGCTTGTTTTAATTTGCATTTCAGTGTTGTTTTAATTTGCATCTCTCTGATTATTAGTAGTTTAGAATATTTTATATGGCTATTCACAGATTGGATTTCTTCCTTTAAAAACTGCTTATTTATATTCTTTGACCATTTATTAATTGGAGTTTCCTCACATTTGTTATCCATTTGTCTTTGGAATTTTACAAATGAGTTCCTTTTTATTTCTTGTTTTTTTTTGTTTGTTTTCTTTTTTTTGGCTAGTCAATAAGGTTAAGTGACTTGCCCAGGGTCACACAGCTAGCAACTGTTATGTCTGAGGTCAAATTTGAACTCAGATCCTCCTGAATCCAGGGCTGGTGCTCTATCTACTGTGCCATCTAGCTGCCCCTTTATTTCCTGTTTTTAATCTGGCTATTTATACCTCACCCCCTTTTTGTCTTCTCAGTCAAGTAGAATCCTCCTTTTTCTACCTCCTTTTTCTACTCTCCTCCAACTGTATTTTTATTAAATTTCATTTTTAGCTTGCTTCTTTCCAGAGAGTATTTCTTTCCCTTTCTCTCTTCATTATCCATCCTCCCTTTCTCTCTACTCTAGACCCTCATCTTCTGATTCATGGTCCTTATATTTATCTAGTTCAGGGGTGGGGAACCTGTGGCCTTGAGACCACATGCAGCCCTAGGTCCTCAAGTACAGTCCTTTTGACTGTGTCCACACTTCACAGAAGGAATCCCCTTAGTATTTGAGGTCCCTTGAGGACCTAGAGGGCCACATGTGGCCTCAAGGCCACAGGTTACCCCCCCCATGGCTGATCTGGTCCCTCTCTATTCTCTACATTCCTTGTAGAATCAAAACTTTGAAAGTATCCATTCTGGGTCTCGAGAAGTTTCTGTCATTGCCCTGGAGATTCTCCTTTTACATTTTGTCTCACTTTTAGAAATATACTTATTCCTGTAGGGTGATAGAGAGGACACAGCCCCATGGCAGGACCCATGCCCCAATTTTGCAGCCCATCACTCATTTCTGCCCTTTGGTCACCAATCCTTCCCCATTTGCTTCAAAATCTACACCCCACCCATATCAACTCTCTCATCTATCAGTTTCCCCCCAGGAGCTCTGATTCCCACCCTCCTGAGATGGGATAACTGGCCTCTCCACATACCAAATCCCCTAGACAATACCCAGTGCAAAGTCCCCACCTCCCTTCACAGAACATCTCTCTTTGTCCATGGAACCATTTATCAGTGGTACTCCCCCTCCATCACTAAAACAAGGCCTCCCTTTCCTCCCTCCTTTTTTCAACTACTCCTCATGCTCTCTCATATACTGCCCTGAAAGCTTTTTCCTAAGAGATCACAGGAGTCACCTTTCCCTCATTGCTAGCCCTTACCTTGACCAGGACTCAGCATACCCTCTCCTCTATTTTACTTCCCCCACTTCTGAGCACCTTCCCTTGCATTCTCTAATTTAGGCTCACAAAAAAACAAACAAAAACAAAATGATTGAAATATTAGCAGAGTGTGGAGAGGATCAGTCCATGATGGCCTAGGCCCACCTCTCCATCATTACTTCCACTTTGTTTTCAATCTTCATCTCTGTTTCCTTGTGCACATTTAAGAAGAAGCATTTTAATGGTTTCTTTGCTATACTCTTGCTGTTGCTGACCTTGGCTGATGCATTTATTCCCTGTCCTGAATTTCTGTTGTGTGGAGTTTTTGAGAAGCAAACATTCTCTTCTTGTCTTGTTTTCTTTCTAAGAATGCTTTGAATGCTTATTTATTATTGAACATCTATCTTTTTTCATTTATGGTTATGCTCAGATTTGCAGGGTAGGTCATCTTGGGCTGCATTTTGAACTCCATTGCTCTTGGAACATATCTCCTGAATTTTCTGGTGGGTGAAGAACAGTCTTGTGGTATTTGAATTTTCTTTCCTTTGTATTTGAAGGTCTTTCTCCTAGTTGCTTACAGAATTCATTGTTTCTCCATGGAACTATTAAACTTAACCACTATGTGCCTTAGAATGTTCAGCTCCTTTTTTTTTGGTGAGGATGGAGATGGGAGGCAAATCAAAGGATTACTTTATTGACACTGTTTTCTGTGTTCAGAAATTCTGAGCAGTTTCCTTGTATTATTTCTTTCATTCTTGTTTCAGGATTTTTAGACTTGTCATGTTCTTTTGGGAGACCTATACTTCTTTTTTTGTTTTGTTTTGTTTTTTAGGCAAGTGGGGTTAAGCGATTTGCCCAGGATCACACAGCTAGTAAGTGTCAAGTGTTTGATCTGAGGCCTGACCTCAGGGCTGGTGCTCTATACACTGTGCCACCTAGCTGCCCCCAAGACCTATACTTCTTAAGATACCTCTACACATTCTGTACTTGAGATCAATATGTTTTTCTTGAAAGGAGTGTGTATTTTTAAAAATGTTATTTTTTTTTTTTGCTTCTCCTCTTCTAGATTGGCCTTCATTTCTTTGCATTTGCTTTCTCAATTATTTGTGTTCTTTTTTGTTTCTTTATTGGGATTTGACACCATAGATTTTTTTTTCTATTTTGGCAAATATTTTTGTGGTTCAAACCATAATTTCTGCTCTCTTTTTTTAAATCATTCAGTTACAGTGCCTTTTGATTTCATGATCTCCTCAAAATCCACAAGAACTTTATCTGGTGCTGAATTATGTTCTTTTGTTTGCAACATTTATCCATAGATGCCTGAACTAGTTTACCAGATCTGGAGACCATATTTCCTTCTGTTATTAGCTTCTTCCCTGTTGGTTTATCTGTTTATCTTCAAGGTCTTTTGAGTTTTCTTCCTCCTAAGATCTTTGGTAATTTCTGTCTTGTTTTCCCCTCTTGCTTACTTTCTGACTTCCTCTCTTGTCTTTGTTGTTTCTCTGGAGTGGGATCTCAAAGAATCTCAACCATCTCCCACAAAAGGCAATTTATGATTACCAGCCCCAAGTGACTTTTGGGGTGAGGGAATAGAACTACCCCCAGCTGGATGCTGGGTTCTTTCCCTCAGGCTTACTGGGTTGCCTTATATCTCCCCGCACATGACATCCTAACTCATTCTCTCTGTTTCTCAGTTCTGTAGCATAGCAGTAGAGAATGCTGCCATACTGCTGCTATTGAAGCCTGAGTAAATTTCTGTAGTTTGGAGTTTGGATTTCAGTGGCATATAGTTGAGTTCTATTACAAGCCCAGACATATGTCCTGCCCCATTCCCTCTGTTCCACTGCTCACCTGCAGAGCTCTATTGCAATACAGAATGCTTCTCTGGTGCTGGCTATCACAGCCTCAGCAAATTTCTGCAGCATGGAGTTTGTATCTCCAAAGCACTGGAGGGAGGTGGGATTAAGATGTGAGGTTTCATTCTACTGTAAGCCCCTAGGTTAGGTCCACTTATGTAGTTTTGCTGCTAGGAGGTAGGGGAGAGAGTGCTGAGTAAGCACAAGTTAGGCATTAGTTCATGGAGTTTTTATCTTCTTTGGTAAAAAATGTCAGGTTTTTTGGTTTGCTCGATAGAAATGACAATGGGAAGCTGGAGTATACTCCCTTCCTTTTTTTTATTGTGGTTCAGTAGTAATATTTGTGAATGACATACCTATTATTTAGGAAAATGAAGCATTTTTTTTTCAAAAAGAGCTTTGACTAGGCAACAAAGGGGAAAGAAAACAAAATAGAAAAGTACAGAATGTACAGATTTGTAGAGGACAGATTACTTTATACTAAACTCAATAACAGATTATTTTAACCAACAGAGTTTGTGGGACACTCATCCATATTCCTTTCTTCCACCTGTGTTGGAGGCAGAGGTGTGCTGGTAAAAATGTTTAAGAACCAGGCTTTGGTGGGGGGAGGTAGGGCACGCTTAATACACTTTTAAGTTTGATCCACATTATCAACATTTTCTCCACCATTTTTTAAGTCTAGACAATAAAAAAGAATAAGTAAAGTCCTGATTTATAGTATTTGCCAATTACTAAGGAGTAAATGCTCACATTGAAGATTTAGCAATTGGCTCAATATAAACTGGTTTCAGCACACCCTTGGATAAATATTAAATTAAGTTACTCCAACTTCTAGACTGAGACAGGTTTATGTTGTCACTACTCCATGGTCTTATGGTGTCCTTCATTTCCTCTAAAATCTGTTTCCCAAGCTTATTATTTGTTGTGCACTACTCCCAAGTCATTTTCTCTGGACCTCATACCCTTCTGTTCTGAAGTCATAAGACTAAGATTTCTTCTCATTATATCCTTTTACCCTTATACCTATGAGCTAATTCCTACAGTAATAGGAACCTCTGCACTGTGTTCCATGACAAGGGTGGAAAAATACAATTCTGTACTGATCAATCCATTTGTGGAAATAATTGCCCTCCAAATCTTGTACAGATAGAAAAAAATAGATTTTAAAAAATTCAAACAAGTTTATGAATAATATCTATCAACTGATGCTAAGAGAAGCTGAAATACACCTTACCTTTAGCAGTGAAATCAGGGATAAAAAACATGCCATCCCATGGGGTGTCCCTTGGGGCCACTGTTGGCAAGAGAAAATGGGGCTACATGAATTATGGTTCTGACAAAGAAGTGCAGTTCTTACATGTGTATGGCATAGGTATTTGAGAACCTCATTTAGAATAAAATGTTCTTCCAAAAGAGCCCTGGCCCTTCTCAGTAACCTATTGTGGATTCCTATTTGCACCTAGCACAATACAGGTCATTTGCTTTGTCTCAGAATATACTGTCACTTGGGAATCAGTAACCTAAGAGATAATTTCTTTCCCTAAGTGCCTTTGCAGTAGTTAAGCCCAGAAGGAACAATCTGAGCAAGACTCTTTAGACTTGAACTTGATGGGGGAGGGGAGGGAAAGAAGGGGAAATTTTTTTTTCCTTCGGTGTTTTCCATCAAATGAGTTTGCTATACTATTAGGGTTCAATATTAAGGGTGAAGTTAGATGGCTTTTGTGTGTGTATGTGTGTGTATGTGTGTGTATGTATTCATGTGCATATACGTGAGAGTGTATGTGGGTAACAATATTTAGCTTCCTTCAGAGTTGTTCTTTGCTCACCATACTCATCATTAGGTTCTTTTGCTAGTATTATATTGGGCATATTCATTTAGTTTGATTTTGTGTCTGTGTGGAATATAGTCTCAAATCTTTCTGCAAGCAGTTCTATTAAAAAGAAGAATAGGCAAAAATCAGAGGAAGGTTAAAAAGCAAGGTCGTGAGCATGTCAGCCTGAGAGTGAATGACAGTCTGTGTTCAAGGAGTGGAACTGATTCCATTCCAACTATCCGAGCAAGCTGATACATCTTTGGCATAATGTGGTTTAGGTGGCTCTTTCTATAAGTAGAGAAAAATGGTCATTACTAAGGACCCAAATGATCCTCCTATTCAAGTAACAAATTAACTCTGCCATTTCCATTTCCGTATGTTTGGGACTGGTTTGATGACTAGTGTAAAAGTTGGTGGAAAACTAGTTACAGGGGAAATGCCATGCTTTTTTCTTCTAGATGTAAATTAATGTAACTGATGCTCTCACTTGAAAATCGTGTCACCTCACTTCCATTTCTGCTCTTTACAATCTGAGTCACTGCGTGACAATAAGAATTACACTCCCTGGCTTTTAAATTTGCAGAAGTTAAATGATACAAATCAATAACTAAGTTTACTTTTGGGAAAGGTGAAGGTAGATCATATTTCTTTACTGGACCTTTTAGAATATTTTCAAACTCTAGAGTTATTATCATCATTATTATTTTTTGCCTGTGATAGTGAGTTAAGCTGATCCAGGACTGAGTCCTTTTTGAAGTGATAGGAACATTTACTTATTCCACAGCTTCTGTCTCTTTAACAGAAAAAAAATTAATGGGTGGAGAAGGTGGTTGAAGCTCTTTCAATTTAGCCACTTGTTCTGGTATAAGGGAAGCCTTCCTGCAGTCTCAGAGTCCTGCCCGGGTCCTAGCACTCAGATCTTCTACTAGCTGACAGACCTGCTGGGCTTCACCACCTGCTGAGATAAAGTGGAAAACCCTGTCGCTCCTGCCAGCCACCCAGAGCAGTTACTGGGCAGGGCAGCAATGGTCGGAGGCATGAAATAGCCACTGGTGCACAGTGCTTCAGTCAAGTGGCTTCAGCCTAGAAGATAAGGGGTAGTGTACCAAGATCGATCATGCTTCTCCCTCTTTGAAGCTCTTTGCTCTCGGACCCCCAACCCCTCTTCCCTACGAAACAGTCAGACACCGAAGCCCGCACTTCACCCCTGACCCCAGTTCTTCTCTGTTCTTGAAAAACCTCTGAGAACAAGCAGTTCTCCTACCCTAAAAAAAGAATAGGTCGAGTTCCAACCCCAAGATCCCCTTCCCGGGGATTCTGTCCTGCCCTGCTCTTCCTCTTTCCCACTTCTGGTCCTGTGCAGCCTCTCGGGTTTTGCCTTATGCAAGAGCAGCGATTCCCGGCAACAGAAAAGGTTCTTATCCACCTGCTCACCCCAGGGACTGAATACACACACACATGCATACATATACATACATACAAGCGCACTCACGCTAATACACAGTACAGAAATCCACAGTGACCTGCTCGCGACTAGAGATCCTTTACTGTACTCCACCAGGTCACAATCTCTCTCTCATCCCTTGTATGGTTCAAAACGCTACCTGCAACCCCTTTGCCAGATACCAAGAGCCTAGTGATGAATACAAAAGAGACAGGACTTTCCTCCCTCGCCCACAAATGCACAAGCTGCTCTTTCACAATCCTCTTTTCCTCTCTCGGGTTTGATGCAGGGGACCCCTCCCTTCACCTCTTTCTTCTCCCCTTCCCCTGTTTCTAGCAAATCTACCAACCTCTTCCAAAATCTTCTACAAAGAAGAGGGAACAGATAGTGTTGGCCCTACACACCTTAGCCTCTCTGGGATAAGGAAGGTCCCACTTCTCCACCCTTTTTCCTCCTCCTTCTCCTCAGGGGGCCCTCCTTTCCCCTCCCCCTTTCGTACAGGGCTGGGAGCGGCAGCAGCTGGGAGAGAAGGGATGAGGTCATCCTCTCACTCGGAGTCAGCTGGTGGAGGAGAGAAAGAGGGAGGGAGGGAGAGGGGAGGAATGTACAGGTCCGAGGACCGCCGCCGCGGCTGCTGCTGCTGCTGGCGGCGGCGGCGGCTCGGACAGCAGCAGCAACCGGGAAAAGAGGGAGAAGAAGAAGAAAAAGAAGGGGACTGGAAAGGGAGGGATAAGAAGGTTGGCTTTCTGTAGGCAGCCAGGCGGCGCTCCAGCTGGAGGAAGGGGAGCTGCTAGCCCCAGCCCAGATCCTACCTACCCAGCCATCCAGTCAGCTAGGAAATCAGGGAGTGGAGTAGCAGTAGCAGCAGCAGCAGAGGAAAAGGCGGAGGGAGGGAGTAAAGAAGGAAAGGGAGGGGAAGGAAGGAGGGGAAAGAGAAGAGAGAAAAAGGAGGTGGCTGTAGGAGGAGACAGCAGGGGGGAAAGGTGTCAGATAAAGGAGGGTTTTTCTCTGGTTTTAAGGCATCATGGCCGCTAAGTCAGACGGGAGGCTGAAAATGAAGAAGAGCAGCGACGTGGCGTTCACCCCGCTGCAGAATTCGGACCACTCGGGCTCGGTTCAGGGATTGGCTCCGGGTTTGCCGTCGGGGTCTGGAGCTGAGGACGAGGAGGCAGCCGGTGGTGGCTGCTGTACGGACGGTGGTGGTGGTGGCTGCTCCCGGTGTTGCTGCTGCGGCGGCGGCAGCGGTAGTTCGGGCGGCGGCTCGGGGGTCTCTGGCGGAGGCGGCGGCGGTGGTGGGGGGGGCTCCTCCTCGTTGTGCCTGCGTCTAGGCAGGGAGCAGCAACGCTACTCGCTGTGGGACTGCCTCTGGATCCTAGCCGCTGTGGCTGTGTACTTCGCGGATGTGGGTACAGACATCTGGCTGGCAGTGGACTACTACCTGAGGGGCCAGAGGTGGTGGTTTGGACTCACTCTCTTCTTCGTGGTGCTGGGTTCCCTCTCTGTGCAGGTGTTCAGCTTCCGCTGGTTCGTGCACGATTTCAGTACCGAGGACAGCTCCACGAGCACCTCAGCAGCGGCTGCAGCCACTGGTTCCTCTAGCTGCGCGCAGCCTGCAGCTGACTTCAAGACGGTGGTCAGCGGGGGGTCTGCAATTGGAGAAGGAGATGCTCGTCCTTCAACACCGCAAAGGCAAGCTTCAAATGCCAGCAAGAGCTATACCACCACCAACAGCAGCAACAGCAACAGTGCCACCCGGGCCAGCGGCAAGAACAGGTCTGCGTCCTGTTCATTCTGCATCTGGCTCCTGCAGTCACTCATCCACATCTTGCAGCTCGGGCAAATCTGGAGGTACTGTATCAGGGGTGGAGGGAAAGAGAGAGGCTTGCTGCCAATATTACACGACCACCCACTTTCGTTTTTACAGTTATAGTTTGTGGTGATATTGTCTAAGTCACACTTTCTTAGATACTTTGGACACTTGCAGAGTCTGATGATTTTTTTTTTTTCAATTTGAAGCTATTATCTTGGGAAAGGAATAGAGAACGAGAAAAGTAGTGTTGATTACCCCACCCTTCCTCACTCTCCTTTTGTAGCTTTTTCACTTGCTACAGTCTCTTCCACCTTTTTTTTTAAACTGATAATGCTTTGGTGAGTGGGAGGGGGTCCACTGACAATCTTTTAACTATATTTTAAATGTAGAACTTGTTAGATTTGGGAGTGCTACATGGGCAACTGTATTCTTTTTGTTACAGAAAATTTCTACTTCTAGTTAGATGTGATTGATCATCTATCAGAAGCGCTCAGGTTTTCAGCGTTCTTCCCGTGACAACGCTAGATTCAAAAGGAAAGTGCCTGGCAGATACAGAGTTAGTTGTCTTTGCATGTGGATATCGAGTTGTTGGTGTGATACTCCTTTTTTAGGTTGATGTAAATGACTACCATAAAAGCTTGTGTTATGTGGACTCAAGATCACTTCTTTAGTTCATCAGGTTCTCTATCATCATGCTTATTTCTAAACTGATTAAAAACTCATGAAGAGAGAGGCAGTGCCTGTATATGTGGTAATGCTGTTGGCATCTAGTTAGTGGTTTTCCTCTGTTAACATAAAGCAGATGAGATAGCAATCTTCTTACATATGAATCACTTAAAATTTTAAATGGAAATGCTAACTTGAACTTGTTAGGTGAAAGAATCCATTTATTTCATAGATTTGGATATAGTATGCAAAGTGATTGTTTTGGGGTAATATTTTTTTTAAAAAAGTTTTTTGGAAGCCTTTAAGAGCAACGTTTTACAGTATATTGAATTCCATATATATGAAAGAATGCAAATAAAGATGTTAGTACTCTGAGACGTCTCAAATCTTCCTACTGAATGGGCAGTACAGGTCCTTGTAACTGTGCCACAAGTAAAAATAGAAAACTTCTTAGAAAGTTAGTCTAGGTAGGAAATATGGTTCTATACTTCACTATACCAATACTATGTTAAAAACTCTCATTCCTTGTGATGTCTTGAG